GAATTTGAAAATTTGAGAACTCCAGAATCTCAGAATCTTAGAATCTCAGAATCTCAGAATCTCAGAATCTCAGAATCTCAGAATCTCAGAATCTCAGAATCTCAGAATTTCAGAATTTCAGAATTTCAGAATCTCAGAATCTCAGAATCTTAGAATTTGAGAACTTGAGATCTCCAGAATCTCAGAATTTCAGAATTTCAGAATCTCAGAATCTCAGAATCTCAAAATCTTAGAATTTGAGAACTTGAGATCTCCAGAATCTCAGAATTTCAGAATTTCAGAATCTCAGAATCTTTGAATCTCAGAATCCTAGAATCTCAGAATTTCAGAATCTCAGAATCTCAGAATCTCAGAATCTCAAAATCTTAGAATTTGAGAATTTGAGAACTCCAGAATCTCAGAATCTCAGAATCTCAGAATCTCAGAAACTCAAAATCTTAGAATCTCAGAATCTCAAAATCTCAGAATCTCAGAATCTCAAAATCTCAGAATCTCAGAATCTCAGAATTTCAGAATTTCAGAATCTCAGAATCCTAGAATCTCAGAATCTCAGAATCTCAAAATCTTAGAATTTGAGAATTTGAGAACTCCAGAATCTCAGAATCTCAAAATCTCAGAATCTCAGAATCTCAGAATCTCAGAATCTCAGAATCTCAGAATCTCAGAATCTCAGAATATCAGAAATCTCAGAATCTCAGAATATCAGAATTTCAGAATCTCAAAATCTTAGAATCTCAGAATCTCAGAATCTCAGAATTTCGGAATTGTTGAATTCAAGAATTCCAGAATTTCCGGATTTTCCGTTTTTTAGAAATTTCTAAACACAAATTCAAAAATGTTTAGGAAGACAAAAAAGAGATTTAGAAAAAAGAGTTTCACAAAAAAATTTTACAGATTGATTTAAAATCATTCTAATACTCATATCCATAGAAAATGTTGTGAACGCGACCGAGTGTCATTCGAACCTTCATCCCGATACCCACTGTAATGTTATTCTCCTCCCACCATTCAAGTGCAGTTTCTTTGTTGAGAAAGCAAAACCAGAGTTGATTTCCACTGATTTGTTGTTTCAGGAAAAACCAGAAAAGGGCGACATCCATGGGGAGAAACATGCGGAGCCAATCGAACACGTCATCGGGCTGAAAATCGAATTTTTAGTAATCTACTCATACCGTGTCTTCAGAGCGCCCTTTAAATAAAGGTCATACAGTGTTTCAGGAATATGATTTCAGTCAGAAAAAAATTTCATTATTATTCAAAATTCGGAGGATTTTTATTTACAAAAACTCACGGTCCAGAGATTGTAGTTCACCGTTGCTCCAGGCGGAATAATGACATTTCGAATCGTTGGCTGAAATTTTGACGTTTTCTTATCTTCGAAATAATTTTTTACTCACAAAGAGTCTTGGCAGTCTGAATGACTGGTCCATGAGCGAGAAATCGAGAACCTGAAAAAATTAATTGGGTTACTGTAGTCATACACTTTCTCGGGAATCAAGGTTATTGTAGACAGTCATGTTGACGCTTTTATTTGTCTTTTTGTGTATTTGTTATTGTTTCGATAACTAGAAGAGCTTCAAAATGAGTATAAACAAGACTGGGAAAAATTAAGCTCCGCCCCTCTCGTGGTCCAAAAATCAAAATAGGCGGAGCCTAGTTTTTCAAATCGGGTCAAAGTTGACCAAGTTACGGTAGTTTCATGAACTGCAAGCGCGTACCAGGGGAATTTAATACTGCCGTTCACACTTGGTTACTGTACTAAATTTTCTCACTGTTGTTCAATGTCCTTATACTTACATCATCCAGGATTACGTCATCAAAGGCTTCAATTATTTCTTCATCGATGACCCCCTCTTCTTCCACAACGGATAGTGATGGCTCTCGAACGACGCTCTGAAACTTCAATTTGAATAAAGCTTTTTTTGTCGGAATGTATTAGGTTGTTCGGAAAGTCCTTTCCATTTTTGATCTGTTGTTTTCAAACTTTGTCTTTTCGAAAGGGGTAAAAGCGAGGAAGCTGTCGTTTTATGAGTATGTTGGTGGGGTCTGATAGTGTCTACACCCCAACGGAGATCATTCTCCTCTTTTCGTGTAGTAAGATATGCCCACCGTTTTCGCTTCTAGTAATTTCCATTTTTGAACTACCATTTTATTTGTATTTCTATCTGATCTCAAATTAGCTGAAATCGATCGCCAATTAGTGGTGGTTAACAAAGAAGATGTACCCTTTCGAACTACCATTACAACCTGGATTCATCAATTTGAAAAACGAGAATTCTCGTTGGACGAAAATCCCCCTTCAAAAATCAAACGGGGTTAGGTTTGGATGCATTAAAAGCCGGGATCGAGAGGGACCCGTCTCAAACTGTGTGGGATATATAAAGTACATCAGTAGCAAGCCTTTTGTAAAAAAGCCATGAATTGGACATTCTCGGCAAAGTCAGAAAAATGGGAAGATACGGACCACACATTTTGTCTCAACGCAACTTTGTTTCACGTGTTGACACCTGTTTGAATCTTCTCATCCTGCGTTGCACACATGAATGTTGGAATCAAATCATTACTAGTGGTGATTAATGGGTAATGTATGATTAAAATATACTACAAACCAAGTGGGTTGACAAAAGCGCTCAACCACCAGACGTCCCGAAACGTGAAATTCATGTTAGAAATGAGATGTTGTCGGTACGGTGGTCTACCAAGGAATGGAGTATTAGGAGCTGTCTGATAATAGTGTCACTTTTACGGCCCATACCTATTCTTGTCAGGTGACATAACTCAGACTTTATGTGGATCTCCATTGGAGAGGAACGCAAAGGTTTATTTTGAAAATTGGAATCCGCAACCTCATGCGGGAAGGAAGACGCACACCGATCTCGCTGGATGTGGCTAGAGAATTCTGTCTTATCCACTGTATAGCTCTAACCTTCTACTTTCTGACTACTACCTATCCAACCATTTCTAACGTCATCTTGATTGACAAAAATTCACTTCAAAACAGGATATCAAAAATGGGTTGACTTGATTTTCAATGCGCTGTGACCGGAGTTCTGGAAGGAAGGAATCCACAATTTAATGGAACGTTGGCAGGCAGTCATTGATAACAATAGTTATTGCCTCCAATTCATCCGACATCGTTTTGACTTTTTTACATTGAACGTATCTAACGCCAAAAATGGAAAGGATTTTCCGAACAACCTAATAAAAAGAAAACTAACCCCTTCTCTTCTTTCTGCCATTCCTCGAGCAGCTTCTGCTCTTCTTCGGATCCTTGATCGCTCCTCGATCTGTCCCATCGGCCAATCCTCCTGATCGTCTTCAACGACAGCTCTAACACCTCCACGAATACAGAGTAGTCTATGGATCTGAATGAAAAGGAAAACATCATGATAATTTAGAAATACAGTAAAACCTGTAACAGAAGACCCCCCCCCCACACTGCCAATTCTGAGCTCAATTATCTCGATTCCTATGCGAGCTATCAAAAATGAGTAACGAGATTAAATATTTGTGAAATTATGGTAAGCATCTTACCAGTTGCAAAATTTTTTATATATTTCACACGAGCCGAGATAAATTGGGTCAAACGTAAAAGTAAGAGGGCCCTTCTATTACAGGTTTTACGGTATAAATCACTCACCCATTTTCGAAGTCTTGGAAATCGAGGTGGGCTTCGGATGGAAAATCCGTTCCGGCTCAAGTTGAAAGACATTGAATAGTAACCACTGCTCTAGAAGTATCGCCTTACGATCTATGCGATGATGAACTGAGATATAAGAGGTTCCAACGGAGACGCAGAGAAAGAGAGAAACAAGAAGAAGATATTGAAAGAGGAAGGATGCAGGCATTTGATATATGCGGTGTGCATGTTACAGGCGATAAAAGGAAGGAGAAAATTTTCGAAATTCAAAGAAAAGAGAGAGAGAGAGAGAGAGAGAGAGAGAGAGAAAATTTTAACAGCTTGATACATAAATTGAGAGATCCTGGAAGTTCGAAGTTGTCTATAAATCTAAACATCTGAATGACGTGTCTGAAAGTCTAAATCGAGACTTGAGGATGTAGACAACTTCAATATGTCTGGCTGGTTTTGTCTAACTCGTTAATCGGAAGAAAGTAGAATCGAAAAAAGTAGCCGCTCTCTTATTCAACGGAAAAAATGTTTTAATCAAAACGTATACGAACCCCATAAAATACTTTTTTTCTGGTTTGACTTAATAAAACTGTTGTGTTTTTTTGGCACATACACACTTGGTTTCGTGAACACATATGTGCTCTGACAAGCGACAGAAAGCAAAGAAAGAGGAATTGATGGTACCAATTAACAACTATCATGTTGAACTAAGTAAATACCAAAAAGGAAAGTGGAATGGGTCATTTGGATAGTATCTGCTGATGATCACTATTTTTGCTTTTTACGCTCTGATAGAACGCCACACAATACTTGCACTTTGAGCTCAATTACCTCGGTTCCTATTCAAGATATCAAAATTTGTTAACTGATAAAATAATAGTGATATATTGATAAATCTTTTATCAGTTGACAAATTTTTGATATCTTTCAAAGGAGCCGAGATAATTGAGCTCAAAATGCATATAAAGGATGAGCTTCTCTCTCTCTCTCTCTCTCTCTCTCT